GGGGGCGGTGATGGCTCTCCACCCAGAGCACACCCGCCACAGGGGGCCGAGTCGGTAGGGGGAGGGGGAGCTGGGCATGGTGATCAGTGCCAGTGCCCATCATATGCGTCATCGCGCGCCGCTGCATTTAGAGTCGAGGGCCTGCTTCGTAGCCGTCATCTGTCGATTAGGAGCGCACAGCTCTTCAACCTCTCCAAACTCCCACGAGGGCACACGGAGAGAAAAGCTCGGGGCGTACGCTCAAAAGTTTGGACAAATTTCAAAGAAAAGTACCATATCCAAACTTTTTCAGCTGTGGTCACCAAAGGTTTTGGTGCAGAGTCTAAAGGTTTCAGTGTGACACCGAAACTGATTATACGTGCACTTATAACAGGAACAATCCAAACTCATAGTTTTGTTAGTAGGCCGAAACTTTTCTGTCCGTGCCGTGCACGCGCGCTCGCGGACGCCGGAAGTGAGGGAGGTCCCGTATACACGTGTTTCGGTATTGCGTTTTGGTTCACTGCTCCCCTGGCACGGGGTCGCTTTAAACAGTCAGCATATATGCAACAGTCGCGTTGTACGGCCTACTGTCCGGGGAGTCGAAACCGTTTCTGTCTGTGTTTGTGTTTGTCTCCCACAGACTGCGAGATGTTGATATTCATTAAGGGATGGAAAACTCGGAGGCGGGGCGGGGGAAATGCTGACTGCTCTTCGTTGTCGCGTTACTTGAAAGAGCATACTGCTTTGGCCGTCGTTGCACCAATACGAACAATTGGTGGAAAATTTCGTTTTGTTCCCCTCCAAAATATCACTTACCGCGGTCAAAAAACTGAAGGCAAAGGTCCCCCTTTAAATTAGCTGCGCGCGAATGCGCCAATCTGGAACACTGGGGCTCGAATAAATTCGCCATTAATTTTGTAAACTAACCGATTGCGTCTGTTGCCGTCAGTGTGCGCTGTACCGCCTGGTCACGCGCTCCATCTCGCAGCTGAAGGCCATCGTGGAGACGCCCTGCCGGTGTTGTCAGGGGGTTGAGGAAGACTTGGTTTGGGGGCTGGACTTGGTCGCGTCCCCCTACCGACCCACCACCGCGCCCATCTTCCACCTCTACCTCAAGATGGACGCTTCAGGGCCGACCCTCACCACCAGGCCCGAGCAGTTCGAGGACACGTTGCTCCACGTAAGTCAGAAGTCAGACGTGTGTCCTGACATGCCGTTTGGTTGGGTGGCGTCACTCAATCTCCTATCTCGCCCTGCCGCATATCTTCCCCTCCCCCTCACTGGCTCTGCGCTTTTTTTATAAAACGCGGAGGTGTGGGGGAAAGGAAAAAAAAGAGGGAGAATAAAATAAATACATTTCTGCGCGCGCGGCATGTACAGATTTACTAGGGTAGAAACCAAAGGGAGCTTTCAGAGTAGAAAGCAGTAGTTGGTATGATAAGCGCCCCGGCACTGTTCCCGGATGTGTCGAAAAAGTTTCTTTTGAAGCGCTCGTGTTCGTTTCGCGCGTCCCGCAAACTCAACAACGAGTGATATGAGTGGAAATTTCAGCACGTAGAGGGCCTGCGCAATTCCCCGTTCAGTCAGAGAGTTTGCACCTTTAACGAGGGTCAGAGAGAAACGACGGGTGAAGTTGCCATACACTGGAAACATTTCTAAATTTCGGCGCTTTTTGTCTTTGAATAATGTCTTCGAAAATTTACAACATTTTTTTTCTATTTTCGATTTACAAAATGTGTTGTAAATTTACCACAGACCATTCCTTTTTGTCAGGGTATTACAAATCGATACAGAGTGCTTGTTATTTTACAATTTCAAATTGTGATTTTACAACACATGGTAAATTTTCCTACAACCCTTACACATTTTTCACACAGTGTGCAAATCACACAAGATTCCCAGGCCCCAACATTTAGCACCTCAGGCGACGTCAGGGTATTTTCCCGCCTCTGCAACCGTTGCTAATATTCTACCACCTATGTTAAAGCGCCAAAATAATCACCACCCCTCAAGCAAGCGGTGCTGAGTCGCCACCTCTCGTTTTCCCAGCGCACGGGCATTTTTATTCGTTATGTTTATGAACTCAACGCGTTGCCTCTGCAGCCTTTTGTTTGCCCTTGTCCACGCTTTCGCTGTCCGTCCCGCTCACCTGTCGTTTTCCCGTCAGCTGTTCGACAACGCCGTGCTGCTCGCCCACACAATCGGACCCGTGGATCCCCTGCTGATGACGCACCTCGTGTACCCGAAAGACCTGCACCTGTCCTCGGTCGGCCTGCTGGACCCCTGGGTGGAGGAGCAGCGCGAGCAGCTCTTGCAGGCCGTGCGGCGGGCCGGCATTCCGCTCCGCGCCTACTGCGACGAGTTCCACCGCTTCCTGGACTTCCACAACATGAACGTCGGTGAATTTGTGAGGTGCGCTCTGTCATCGCATATCGGAGCTGAAAGGAACTGTTATCGTATATCTTTGTTTGTTGTTCGTTGTTGCCGGCGGGGACCCGGCTCCTGATACACCAGAAATGTGGCACAGGCTGAGCTCCGGGGCGAAACGTAGAACCTCTCTAGAGAAAGGCAGTCACGACGCTTTCTTTGCGAAGACCGAGTCGCTTTCAAACTGGTCCCAACCCAGGCGTCCCTTTCCCGCCTAAGGGGTATGGCCCCTTGTCTTCTCACCCGATCTTTTCCCTTCACTCTGTCGACCCCTGTCCCTGTGGGTGGGCCCAGGGCAGGCCTTGGGTTTAGGGGGGGGGGGGGGCAGCGCCCGACGACGCCCCGCTAGCAAAAAAGGGGAAAACACTGTCACACGAGAGTCCATGGACCTAATAAGTAATGGACCCTAGTTTGTCCTTGCGCCTCGCTCGCTCTGACCGTGTCTAATTATGGACCCATGGTACACTGCTGCGTTCTCGTAACGCTTCAACCCTTTAGTTACCCACTGCCTAGATAGAATGCACTTATACTTATGCCGAAGAAGGTTGAGCAACTGGGGAACTGGACAGTCACAAGTGCTCAATAACTATCAGAGTGCACACTTTTATGTGTACAACATTTGTGCGCCAGGAGTTGATTCGAGCGCGCGACTCCTCCTCTTGTCCTGCCCGCAGCCGCTACGAGTCTGAAGGCCACACTGCGTCCGAGTTCAAGGAGGAGGTGGCGACACGGGTCAAGCTGAGGGATAACTTCCTGCTGACGGTGCCGCCCAGCATCGTCATCGGACCTTTCCTCGTTAATGTGGAGCTGACGAGGAACATGCTCGTCAACAAGAGCCAGGAGCTCATCACCCAGCTGCTCCAGATGTACGCCCGTCGGCTGCGCACCCAGCTGGACATTGTAGGCGCTGCGAAAGTGTTGACAGAGAGATAGCTTTTTATTACTTGCGGACAGGCGTGGCCATAAGTGTACTTCTATCCGCTTATGGTGATATAACTCGTACCCCCTACAGGTTCTGGACGAATACAGTGAAATCATGAAAAAGATTGTCGGAAAGCCGATGTCCATGGAGCACGTCATGGAGACGAAAGAGTTCATGGAGAGTGCTCCGTACCTTATCAGGGCCCAGGAGGAAGTGACCAGGCGTCTTTTATTTGTAAGTGCACGAATCAGTGTGCTACGCGGACCGGGGAGAAAACCCCCATTTTAAAAGGGGCTTTTCGTCTTGCTCACGTGTTTGCCTCTTAGGAGTACGAAGTCTTGGATCACTTCTGGTTCTCGCTGTCGGACAGCGACTTCAGTGCGAAGTGGGAAGCTGTGGGGTGGCCTCTCAAGCTGTCGCGCACGATGGACAACGCGGCCGAGAACCTGCGCGAGGAGACAGAAAAGTTTCTGTCCCTACACCTCGGGGACGAGTCTGCCCACCGCGAGCAGATCGAGTACCTGACGGAGCGCGTCGTCCATCTGCAGGGCGAGTCCAACTTCGACAAGGTGGGCGGGGGCGGGGAGCTGTCACAAACAGAATGCGCTGGGCGTCTTTAGCTTCCCAGTCCAATTTCCCCGACAAATGCGCCTTCGCGTGCGTAGGTGCACGAGCTGGCCATCGAGATCGGACGCATCTGGAAGCTGATGAAGGAGGCGCAGGAGCAGGGCGTCGTGCTGAACCGGCGACAGAAGCTGTTTGACCTGCCGGTCACACCTTACGACGACCTGAACCGCCTCGTCAAAGAGTTCCAGCCGTACCGCGACCTGTGGATCACGGCCTCGGAGTGGGTGCAGGTGCGCACGGCGGCGCTGTCGGGGGCGGCGGGGCATGCGGCAAAGCTCATCAATCTTTGACTGTCGTAGGCGCACGAGATTTGGGTGGACAACCCGCTGGCCAACGTGGACGGCGACTCTGTGGAGCACATCATTTCAGACGCGTACAAAACAATGACGAAGCTGACCAGGACGTTCGCCGAACTCCCGCTCGTTCTGAGGGTGGCGGTTGACGTCAAGGACGCCATTGACGAGTTCCGCCCCAACGTACCGCTGCTCCTGGCGCTCAGGAACCCCGGCCTGCGTCAGCGCCACTTCGACCAGTTGCGCGAAGAGACGGGTGCGTTTTCAAAGTGTTTCTTTTTTGTCCAAACTTTATACACGTCTTATATCACTGACATGGTCGTCAATGACGTATCCTTCAGGGGTCAACATCAAGGCGGCGCCCCACCTCACGTACAAGATGTGCCTGGACGCGGGCGTGCAGCCGCACACGGACCGCATGGTGGTCATCGCAGAGACGGCGGGCAAGGAGTACTCCATCGAGAGCGCGCTCGACAAGATCGAGAAGGAGTGGGAGCGCGTGGCCATGGAAGTGCAGCCGTACAAGACTACGGGTAGGCATGTCACTCACAAAGCCCCCCCCCCCCCC